CCACAAAAGATTGGAGGCTGTGGATTACTGCAAATACAGCAGATAGTAAAGGAGGAAAAAGAAGCCTAAATGATGGTATCAGTGCAAGTACAGAAAAAGTACTTAAGGTGGTGAAATGGGGAATTGGTTGGAAACAACAAAAACAAAGGCTCAATATAAGAAATGACAATTTAAAAATAAATTAAACAGTTGGAAAAATTAACGACCACATGGACAGCACCTGAGAAATACTGATGGAAAGCATGATCTTAATTCAACATGGGCACAGCTAAAACTGGGGACCCTTACGAAAGAAATCGAAGACTTGATTTTTGCTACACAGGAACAAGCACTCCAAACCAATGTGACGAAAGCTAAGATCCAAGGAATTACTGCTAACACCAAATGTCGGCTCTGCCAAGAAAAAGATGAAACTGTGTCACACCTTTTCCATGAATGTCCAAAGATTGCATAAAAAGATTATAAAGTTAGACATGACAGAGTGGCAAAATTAGTGCACTGGTCATTATACAAAAACTACAACTTGCCAGCCTTCAAAAACCCATGGGAACATCAGGTAAAGAAAGTGCAAAAAATGCAGAAGTCAAGATCTTGTGACGTTTCTGGATCCAAACTGATAAGACACCTTGAACATAACACACCAGACATAGTAGTAATAGAAGGAATACATGTTCAGAGTATTGACATTGCAGTTCCAGGGGATGCCAGAGTTGAAAATAAAGAATTGGAAAAACTAATAAAATACAATTGAACCACATAGTTGGTTGATGAAACACACTTCAGTGGTCCCCGTAGTCACTGAAGCTTTGGGAAACAATGTTAAGAAATTTCACATGGTATTATAAGTAGTTGCATATCTCAGAAATAACACCATTAGAGCTACAAAAATGACAATATTAGGAACAGATTACATACTGCACTGATATGTAACAGATACTTAGGTTTTTGGTTAAAACTTGTATCTGTTATACAATACCAGTCAATGTTTTTATAATTTTGATTAACTGGTTGGTGTTTTTGAATAATAATAATGCGTTGCAGCACCCTTCAACTGATGTGCATTTTTGTTTCTGAATGCCTATGGAGTTGTAAGCCACTTTGAGCCCATTACGTGGAAAAGCAGCTCATAAATAAATGAAAAGTGATGGTGGGAGTGATGCTGGAATCCCAGTCTACATATCAGCCACTATCCTGCACAGGCTTTCTGGCAGAGAGAAAATTCAGACTGTAGGCTATGCATCTGTATCTAGGTCTTTTATCTGCAATGTTACTCTAGCTCTGTTCGGTTGATATTATTGATAAATAAGACACTGCTCCTCTCTTCCCCTATCAATGAGTGTTCTCCATAAACTTTCTTCTTCTCTTCCAGCCATACCAGTCATTGGCCATGTGGTTCTACCTGGCAGCCTTTCTGGGCCTCTATTTTCTACTCAAGTGGTACCGTGAAAAACAGATCCTAAGCAACCTGACGGACAAGTACGTCTTCATAACAGGTTGTGACTCTGGATTTGGCAACCTGCTGGCTAGGCAGCTGGACACACGAGGCCTTCATGTCCTGGCAGGTTGCCTTACACAGCAGGGGGCAGAGAAGCTGAAAGAGGCAACATCAGAACGCCTGAAGACTGTCCTCTTGGATGTCACCAGCACTGAAAGTGTGGCCAGAGCAACAGAATGGGTGAAGAGCATTGTGAAAGACAAAGGTCAGGGCAGAACATGGCAGGTTTCAGGTTCTGTGTATAGTTCTAGGCCTTCATCAGTAACTCTTTGGAGGTTAAAGGCAGAGCACCAAAACATTTTGGAGTACAGGAAGGCACCTTATACCAAGGGAGACCATTGGTCTATGGTTCCCAACCTTGGCCCCCTAGATGTTTTTTTTGGTTTTTTTTCCCCTTTTTTATATATTTATTTAGGAACAGGGATAAAGGGTACAAAAAGAAAAAAGGGATAGAGAAGGGAAAATGGTTTTGGGGGATAGGAGAGCATAAAGTATAACATCATCCAATCAATTCATATTACTAATATATATCAACTTTTTGCTTTTTCACAGTTTGATTACCCTCCTGCTTTTATCTTATCATTTAATTTTAATTTTATTCTATGTTATTCCAACATTGTCTGGTAGCTGCTGCCATTTATACAATACATCCCATCGTTCATTTTCTTTTTGAATTGAACAGTCTTTCAGCCCATCTGACAGAATATCCATTTTTTTCACTTCCCATATTTTCACCATAAGATTGTCTGGTTTCAGTATCTCTGCCTCCTTAAGATTTTTGTCATAATGATTTTTAATTTTGGAAGCTGCATGGGTCACTGGATAACTCTCTACTGCATTCATATTACCTGGTGTCATGTCTAATACAGACGATTCTAAAGTCTGTACAACTTCATTTAAGTTTTGTTTAGCATCTACTGTCCCCTCTTTCATCCCTTTCATCAAATCTTCTATTTTGCTAAGACCTGCATTCACT